TAATGCAGTGCCCTTACTCTGGTTGCCCAAGGTCCCTTGCCCCATTTTCTTTCCCAGATCCCTTCAGCAGGCATCCAACATCCCGGCGCCACCCCACATTAACGATTCTTCACTTTGGAATAGCTTTGTTTTGATCAGCAAAAAAGCCACTTGATTTAGTCACCAAAGGAACAGATCAAGCCATTCTTCCCTCAAAGCCTTTCAGCCCCCTCATCTCTCTCAAAGCCAAAGTTCTTACTGTGGCCCACAAAGTCCTACATGATCTGGCCTCAGTTTCCTAACTGGCAACTCCCACCACTGTTTTCGTCCCCAACCACCCCAGGCACCCTGACCTCCCTGCTGTCCCTCAGGTGTACTAAATCACCTTGCACCTCAGGCCCTTCGCATTTGCTGTGATACATCCTGTCCCCTGATTCATTCATGCCCACTTCATCAGGCCTCTGCTCAAATGCCCCCCTTAGGGAGCCCCCTCAACCACACTACCTAACCCGGCAGCCCACTATCATCCTACATCTTTTCATTCAGCTTTGTCTCTCCTCCTAGCACCTTATTATTATTATTATTATTATTATTATTATTATTTTATTATTATTATTATTATTTATATGCATGAAATCACTATACATCATTTGTAGAGACAATTTACCCAACATGAAATACACCTCAGGCCAGTCCAGTTGAGAATACTATACACATTATCATCATAGGTAATAAACCATTTCTATGTCCCACAAATATCTTACCTCTCTATTTTCTCTCCCTGATTACCTTCCCATTTTCAGTGCTTTTATGCCCTCCAATCTTTAAGTCTCTACCATAGGGTACGGACAATCAGTATATGTTAAGTGGAGACATACAATGTCTCTCTTTCATAGCTCAGCAATAAATCTTCCATATCTGACCACTTTCTATCAAATGCCAGGGTCTTAATTTTTTTTGTTTTTTTGGGGTTTTTTTTGGCTGAGCAATATTCCATGGAGTATATGTGCTACACTTGTTCAATCCATTCATCTGTTTGTGGACATTTGGGTTAGTTCCACGTCTTAGCAATCATGAGTAATGGCACAATAAGTGTAGAGGTGCAAGCGCTTTTCCAACTGAGCATTCTCCTGTCCTTTGGGCAGATGCCAGGAATGGAATTGCTGGATCATATGGTCCTCCTGGTATCTTTTAATCCCTGGCATTACATTGTAGACTCAATTTCTGGTTGGGTCAGTGTTCACCTTACCCACTAGAATCCTCCTTTAACAGGAACAGTCACATGGTCCACACTATACACATTTGTTAAATAGGTGAATGAATGACTAGACCTGGACTCAAAGCCTGGCTCTGCTAGTAGGTAGCCTTGTGGTATTGCACAGGGCATCTAACTCTAAGCCTTGGTCTACTTAAGACAAAGGGAATCCTGGGAACCAGCAGTTAGCGTAATGGCTATGTCGCTGGACTCCTACGTAGTTGACCGCGGGTCACATCCCAGACCCGGTGGCTTAAAAGCCACACCGGGCACGTGTGCGTGCGTGCCCAAGATCCCGAGAGGAGAATGGAGGAGAAGGGATTGCGGTGTGACCATCCCTCCTGGGGGGTGATTTCTCGCTTTCTGTCTCTATGTCTCTCTCTGTCTGGCGAGCACACACGCCCTATAGCGAAAAACCTCTCCAAAAAAAATTAAAATATAAAAAGACAAAGGGAATCCTATCTGCCAGCTGCCGTGGTGAGAATAAGTGAGGGGGCACCCAGTGATCAGGACCAAATGATCCTACAAATGGTAGCTGACATTATCTTTCTAGTTTTGTGTCAGCTGCATTCAGAATGTTCTCCTTGCCCGAAGGTGTCTAACACCCCCACATGCTTCTAGAACACCCATGACTCTGATCTGAAAGGGTACTGCAAGATGCTCAAGAAATAGGCAGCTGACCCTGGGGCAAAGCAGGAACCTATCTTCTACAAAAGGAGGAGCAACCCAGCTGTTCTGTGGAAGGCTGGTCCATCTCAGCCTGAACAGGGTCTGGGCTCTCTCCCTTCTTGGATTGGTGTGGGTGGGGCACTGTTGGATCAACCAGAAAATAACACTGAATGAAACTAAAAATCGTAGGACGAAAAATTAACTATTAAGTATTAAAGCATTATGAACAAGACTAGGATGAGGGGACACTTCGATAAATGTATCCTTAATACATGAGTAAATTCTCATTTCAAAATGTCATTTAATATTGTCTTATAATTTAAAACATAAGTAAAATTTAATCTAGTTTTATAAGGAAAAAAAAAAGAGAAGATGACACTTCAAAATGATTTTTAAAATTTTCCATCAGCTCATGAGGCACCCATCTATGGAGCTTTTTCACCCTTCTGATCTGTTTCTAATGCCCACTGAGCATAGAATGGTCAGCATTGAGTTTAGTGGCAGCTGTTCATGTGGTTGTAAGAGGATCAACTTTCATTGGTCTCAGTTGGTCATTGTCATCTTCCAGTGGCTGGCCTCTACACTCCTCATCTTCAAGGCTCTCATCTTTGCAAGACTTCTTGAACCACCACTGCACTGTGGTTCATTAGCAGTTCCTGGGCCAGTGTGTTGACGTCTCCAGCTGTCTCTGCTGCCTTACAACCCATTTTTGAACTTGAATAAGAAAATTGCTCTAATTTGTCTAACATCATTTCCATAGTCTAAAATGAATAGAATAAACGGCAAGCAATAAACCATTAACAAAACAACATAAAGCGAGAAATGTGCATTAAAATGATACATAACATAACCACATTTATTTAAGAAGGTATCCGATATCGAATGGCAAATTTCAACAGTGTAAAACCGCAATTACTTTTATACCAACCTAATATTTTGTTGCTGTTGTTCAGCTGTTTAAAAGCTCATCAGATGAACATAAAGGACATGCTACACAGCCCTAAAGAGCCAAAGTAGAGGTGAAGAAAAGTGACTGGGGATGGGGACCAGCAGAGGACGTAATGGTTACTTTGCTGGACTCCCACATAGTTAGCCGCGGTTCAAGTCCCAGACCCAGTGACTTAAATTCATGCTGGGGGTGGGGGGGAACAGCAGGTGGCATGGTGGTTAAGAACACTGGACTCCCACATGGCCATGGTTCAAGTCCCAGATCTGGCAGCTTGCTTTCTCACTCTCCCTCTCTATCTCTCTCCCTCTGTCCCTCTCGGGTCAAATTAAAATAAATAAATCAATAAATAAAGTTAAATAAATTTTTTTTTTTTAAAAAAAGTGCATGTCTGGTGCATGTATGTGCCCAAAATCCAAGAGGAGAATGGAGTAAAAGGGATTGTGACACGACCATCCCCCCTGGGGGGGGAGGGTTGATTTCTCACTTTCTGTCTCTGTCTCTCCAATGAGCGCACACTCTGTAGAAAAAATCTCTCTAAAAAAAATTTTTTTTTTAAAGTTACTGGGGACAGTGTCAGGTCTACGTAAGAGGAAACAGGACTGTGCACAGTGAAATGGGCTGTGTTGTGAGCTTCCCACCCCTGGAAGCCTTTGAGCACAATGCAAGTGACCACTTGTCAGGAGTGTTAGGGAAATTCGAGACCCTTACAACCAAAGAAACCTAGATTTGGATCCAGGTTCCTGAAGTCAGTTACATAATTCAGGCAGATTTAACCTCCATATGCTTATCTGTTCAATGGGAATAATAATTCTTATGTCCATAGGTGCAGTAAGGAAAGCGCCTGGGCAGTAGCACACTGATTCTCCCTCCATGGAGTACACAACAGGACTTCTCAGATGTCTTCTGTGGGCTAAGAAACACAGTGCAGTCCCAAAGAGACTCCTAGGAGGAGAAACAGGCCCACACCAGGCTAGGTGCTCCAGGTGAGCACGCTAGCCCCTGCAGGCACGCAGACAACCGGCAGCAGCCTTATGTGGCAAGGCCAGTGGGCCCCATCGGTGGGGACGTAGGATGCAGGGCCAGCTGATCACTGCTGACCTCCCAACCCTCCCCAGACCTGGCCATGGTCTTGTCACCAAAGGTCATTCTGAGCCCCGGGTGCCTGTTAGCCTCGCTTGTGTTAATCAGGCTTAGAATCACCGCTTTAGAGGGAAGTTAAAAACGGAAGTCACGATTTTGAGCCTAGAAAGTTCAGCACCTCTGCTGGTACAGGGAAAGACACGAGATGGCTCAAAGATCCCTTCTTGGCTTGGGAAGGCTGTTGTCAGAGGATGGGAAAATGCTATTCTACATCTCCCCTGGGGACACAAGAGGAAATGAGTGACTGCAGCAGTAAAAGGATGACTGGAGATGTGAGGACGACCTCCCATCCAGTGACAGATGTTGGACAGTGGAGAGAGGAGAGTCCTGGAAGCTTCTCCATCCAGAGGCTCTCAGCCAGGCAAAGGCTGCCCTCCAGAGGCTTCAGAAGGAACTCGCAGAATTTTTTTTTTTTTTTAAGATTTTAGCCGTGGGGCACATGCACACACCAGGAGAGATTGAGAGAGGGAAAGTGAGACATAACCCCCCAGGTGGGAATGGCCATGCCACAATCCCTTCTCCTACATTATCCTCCTAGGATTTTGAGCAAATGCACATAAATGTGCACACACACACACACACACACACACACACACACACACACCAGGCTTGAGTTTCAAGCCACTGGGTTCAGGTCTCAAACAGCAGTTGACCACGTGGGAGTCCAGTACCTTAACCACTATGCTACGTGCTGGCCCCTCACCATGTCTTCTTTCATCTTGGGATGTATCTGAACTCTGGTATACGCTCACATTTTCCTTTTTACCCATCCTGCTCATGGGAGTAACCCATTAATAACCTCTTTCTACAGGAATCTCAGAAAACGCAGCCCTGCCTTCAACACCAGACCTGCAGGAAGAGAAGCTGCGATCACAACTGGAGGAAGAAAAGAGAAGGTGCCTAACCTCAGCCTCCTGGGCCAGAGACAACCGGGAGCTGCCAGGGCAAGGCAGGGCATAGTGGCCATGTCCCAGCCCAGGGCTGAAAGTCCCGGGGAAAGTAGGTCCAGCTCCTGGGTCCTGAAATAGCAGGAGAAGGCAAGTGTGAAATGCAGGAAGCCTAGGCAATGTGAGGTTAGAATGCAGAACCAGCCAACGCCGGCCGGGAAGCAACTAGGCTTGTCTATTGCTGCCACCTAGAGGAGACAGTAAGTATGCCCACGGTGTCTTCCTCAGGCCTACAGCTTTACCTCACTTCCCTCCTCAATCCTGAGAACTTCACGCCCTCAGGCAGCCATGTAGGGTCCCTAAATGGTTTACTTACAGAGCGAGGAGCCCCAAGCAAATATGGGCAGATGGCCATTAGTGATACATAGCGTGGTCGCAGTCTTGCCTAACACTCCAGATAAATGTTTGCTATCTCATCCATGCCACAGATACCACCCAGAGATGCTAAAAATGTCACCAGGCCGACCTGATGGCTAGTGGGGACGTAGGATGCAGGGCCAGCTGATCACTGCTGACCTCCCAGCCCTCCCCAGGGAGGGAGTCAGATGGGAGCCAGATCACACAACATGGCCAGCCATGTGGCTTGAAAAACACACCAGGTCTATGACATATTTTTCTGTGTATTTCCGATGACCCAATACACGCCCCTAATCCCAACAGGTTGGACAAATGGAGAAGGGATTGCAGCGTGACTATGGGTTACTGTGGGGGTGCTTTCTTCCTATCTCTGTCTCTCTGGTGAATACATGCATCCTCTGACAATTAAAAAACAAACAAGCACTCCCCTTCTGTGCCTCAAAGAGCTGATGGTGTCATTGCAACACACTCCCCTCTGGGCTGACTCAGTAGCTCCCTGCCCCTACTCACACCCCCTTGCATGGTCTCCAGGTCAACTCCTGACAGCTGTGTTCTGTCTCCTCCTTCCAGAACGCCCTGTGGCACTCCCTGGGTGCACTCCCCAGCAGCCTGCCTTCTCCTTCACTCCACTCAGTGTCTTTTCAACCCATTCTCCTTGTGTCTTTACTTTGCCTCCATCTTGTCTCCTTGACTACATTTCCAATCTCAGAGTCACCTCAGAAATGGTCTCTTCAGCTTGGCTATAGTACAGTCCTACAGGAACTGACAGCATCTGGTTTATTGTAGCATTTCTAAAACAAGCATGTTGTCAGTTGTGGTCCTCAGCATGAAGGTGAGGGACGGTAACGCAGCTGAAACTGGTTCAAAGACAGATGGCTCAGGTTCAAATCCTGGCTCCTCCGTCCATTAGCTCTGGATCATAGAAAAAGTTACTCGACCTCTCATGCCTCAGATTCCAACTCTGTGAATTGGAGGTGATGACAGTAGGATCTTCTTCACAGAGTTGTGAGGGGAGTTAGGTGAGTTTATATATGCTGAGTGCCTAAAGCCCCTAGTAAGGACTCAGTAAACAGTACTTCTCATCCTTGGAGATGTGGTTATTTATGTCACATACAAAGCCTCAAAGGCCTTCTAATCAAAAACGCCTCCTTCTCTATGATGCACTCTAATCCTGGTTCTGTTCTTGGTGGCTCCTACAGGGCCCTAGACCCCAGGTACCAGGCAGTGCTGCCAGGCTGCTGAGTCACAGGCCCCACCCGTGTATAGCCCTCATGGCATGGTCATGCCATAGTCCCTTCTGCATTTATCCACCCTGTTGAAATTTGGAGCATGCACGTATGTTCAGCATGTTATTTCAAGCCACAAGGGTGGGATTAGAACCACAGTGGGCCATGTGGGAGCCCGCTCCCTTAACCACTAGGCTTCAGGGCTGGCTTAGGTGACCGCTTTAGTATCTGCAGATGTTATCCATGGCTTGGAGGAGATGGCAAACATTCATTGAATGCACAAAGCAGATGAACGAAGCGGTCGGCTGGGGCGTTAGGTTTCAGGACAGTGGTGCTGACTCTCCTCTGACGCCGCTGTAGGTATAAAACCATGTTCACTCGCCTGAAAGCCCTGAAGGTGGAGGTCGAGCACCTGCAGCTGCTCATGGACAAAGCCAAGGTGAAGCTGCAGAAAGAGTTTGAAGCCTGGTGGGCAGAGGAGGCCACCAGCCTGCAGGTATGGTCTGGGAAACATCGGGGAGGGGAACGAGTTGTCAGGAGGCAGAAGAGCAGGAGCGTAGACCCACAGGCCGACGTGCCCTCAGCCCCCAGCCCATGAAGCAAGTGCTGTGAGTGAAGCCTTGTTCGTGAGTCTATGGAGACACACAAGGTTGCCAGGTGCCACGACAGACCCATTCCCTACAGGGAGCACTCTGGATTTCTCCTGACTCTGGTAGGGGCTCTTTGGGAAAGGATTTCTGAAGAATTGTGATACCTTATTTTTTTTTTCTTTTGGGTCTTTGCCATGGAGCAAGTCCACTTACTGGAGAGAGACAGAGCAAGGGAAAGTGAGAAATCACTCCCCAGGGGGGGGTTGGCCATGCCACAATCCTTTCTCCATTCCCCACTCAGGATTTTGGGCATGCAGACACATGAGCCAAAGCTGCCTGGTCCAGGACTTGAACCACAGTCAGCTGTGTGGGAGTCCAGAGCCTTAAACATCACACCACCTGCTGGCCCCATAATACAGCATTTTAAACAATTTTTTATCTATCTATAAAAGGTAATATATGTTCAGTTTGGAAAACTTGGAAAGCACAGAAAAGCACAAAGAATAAATCAAGCATTACCCATAGTTTTACCAACCCAAGATAATATTTTGGTGCCTGTCATTACAGTTCTTACTAAAACTAGATTTATTTTTGCCATATAGGTATATGCCAGCTTTTATAACTTGCTTCTTCTCCTTAGTAGTCACATCGAGAACATCTTTCCAAGTCATTAGATTTGAGCTAACACTGTGGAACTCCCTCTTGAGCTAACAGGTAAACTCTCCAGTGGTGAATTCACTGAATCCCATGAAGCCAGTTCCCCAGATGTCTGAATCCCAACAGGAACGGGCCCAGCTCCTGTCTAACAGAAGGTAAGGAGAGAAGTGGTCAGCAGTGGTGGGGAACCCAGGCTCCCTACCTGTCTTCTCAGCCCATCTAGCTGCTCAGAATCTCCTCATAAGCTGCAGGACCCAAGAGGATGACGGCCTTCCGCTGTGTAAGTAGCTGTAGGTGTTCGGCCCGAAGGCTTTAGGGCTTGTGTGAGCACCCACCCCTTCAGGCACTCACTCTGCCAGCATCCTGAGATAGGAGGTTTCGCAGTGCAAGCCCCAGCCCTGGCCCTGAATAGGAAGAAGGGGCTGGTGGGAGGGGAAAGGACTGTGGAAGAAAGGGGATAGTGGTGGTAAGGTGGAGGGTAGTCAGCCTGCCAGGATCCAGGGAACTTGGGTGAAAGACTCTTCTTCCTGGAGGATTCAGGAGCAAGGGGGGCACATCACAGAGGACGGCCCAGGCTGGTCTCTCGAAAAGATGGGGTTCTCAGCAGGCACCCTACTCCCCACACACCATGTGTCATCTCTTCCAACCACACAGCCCGGGTGGCAGAGGCCGTGAGGCAGGCCACCTACATCCTCCACCCTGCAACGTGATGCTGCCGTGGGAGCCAGGGCAGTAGAGTGGGCGTTAAGGAGCCATCTTTGGGGTTTGAAAGGGTAGTGGGCTCTCACAAGGGAAATGTGAAATAGAGCTTTAAAAGAGGTGCCAGGTACAGTAAACTGGATGTGGGGTACTTGGGAACTGTCTTTGTAACTTTTCTGTAAATCTAAAACTGTCCTGGCTATGATGGGCTGAGAAGGGCACATACCCTCTGTGATCTTCCTCTCGAAACCCCATCGCCCCAGTCGAAGCCTGAGGAAAACATCAGACAAACCCCGGTTGAGGGGTGTTCTACAAAATATCTGGCCAGTACTCTCAAAGTTGTCAAGGTCATCAAAAACACAGTCTGAGAATCTGGCAGAGCCAAGAGGAGCCTGGGAAGACCTGGTGACTCAGTGTGATGTGGCAGCACGGGCGGGACCCCGTGGGTGGGACTCTGGAACATAAAAGCATATTAGCAAAAACTAAGAGAATCTGAGTAACGCGTGGACTTGAGTTACCAGTAAGGCATTAACAGAGGTTCGCTAATGGTGGCAAACGTATCACACTGACGTAAAAATGTACAGTAGAGGAAACCGGACGTGGGGCATGTGTGCGTGCCCAGAATCCCAACGGAGTAAACAAATGGAGGAGAACGGCTTGAAATGTGACCACACCCCATTGGGGGCTCTCTCTATACCCCTCTCTCTTCTTCCTCCCCCGTCTTTAGTGAGTGCACGCATGCTCTGGCAATTATTTTTTTTTTTTTTAAATAAAAGAGCAGTTAATCAGTGAGCCCTTCCCACTTTGTTGACATCTTCCCTGACATCCCCACATTCCCCAGCCTGACCCTGCAGGGCCAGCTCTTTAACTTGTATTCCGCTTTGGGGAAATATTCTCCTATGTGAGCCCCTAAGCACAGAGCCAATAACTGGCACGGTATGTTTGGCTTGACTGGTGTATTAAAAGGTAGTATAGGGGGACCAGCAGTTGGCATAATGGCTATGTCGTTGGATTCCCATGTAGTTGACCGCTGTTCGAGTCCTGGACCCGGCGGCTTAAACTCCCACCTGGCCCATGTGCGCCCAAGATCCCGAGAGGAGAATGGAGGAAAAGGGACTGCGGCGTGACCATCCCCCGCCCTGGGGGGTGATTTCTCGCTTTCTGTCTCTCTCTGTCTTTCTGGCAAGTGCACATGCCCTATAGCAAAAACCTATCCAAAAAGAAAAAAGTTAGTATAGGGGGTTAGCAGGTGGCATGGTGGTAAGGTGCTAGACTCTCACATGGCCGACCATGGCTCAAGTCCCAGACCCAGCGACTCGAAAAGCATACCAGGCATGAGTGCATGAATGCTCAGAATCCTGAGAAGAGATTGTGGCATGACTATCCCCCTCAGGGGGTGATTTCCCACTCCCCTCCCCCCCTCTCTCTGGCAAGCACATGCACCCAATGGTAAAATAAATAAATAAGTACATAAGCAGTGTGGAATCATGAAAGAGAAAATTGATAAGTTGAACTTTATGAAATTTTAAAACATTGTTCTGCAAATCAGTTAAGAGAATGACAATTTAAGCAACAGACTGGGAGAAAAAATTTGTAAAACTTGTCTGATAAAAGACTTGTATCCAGGACTAGCAGTTGGTGTAATGGCTGTGTTGCTGGACTCCCATGTAGTCGACCGCGGTTTGAGTCCCAGACCTGGTGGCTTAAACTCACGCCAAACACGTGTGCATGCGTGCCCAAGATCCCCAGAGGAGAATGGAGGAGAAGGGATTATGGCTTGGCCATCTACCCACCCCGGGGGGGTGTGTGGTTTCCCTCGCTTTCTGTCTCTCTGTCTCTCTCTGTCATTCTGGCGAGCACATATGCCCTATAGCAAAAACCTCTCCCCCCCCCCAAAAAAAAAAAGATTTGTATCCAAAATATTCAAAAAAATTATTAAAATTCAATGATAAGAAAATGAGCAATTCAGATTTAAAAATGGGCAAAAAATTGTATAGCCATTTCACTAAGAAGACACACTGATGGCAAATAAGTGTATGACAAGATGGTCGGCATCATAAGTCACTAGGGAGTCACAAATTAAAATGAGATGCTACTGTGTATCTACCACAGTAGCTAAAATCCAAACAACGGGGCCCGCTGGGGGTATGGTGGCTGAATCCCACATGACCAACTGCATGGTTCAAGTCCCAGATCCAGTGGCCTGAGAAACACTCTAGGTGTATTAGTATGCATGCCAAAAATTCCAAAAGGAGGGGGAGAAAGCATTAAAGCATGACTATCTCCTGTGAAGGGGAAGGAAATGATGTCTCACTTTCCCACCTTCCCTGGTGAGCACACATGCCCTCTAGCAAAAAAAAAAAATCTAAAAAACTGACAATACCAAATGCTGGTGAGGAGGTGGAGCAACAGGAACTCTCATTCATTGCTGGTGAGAAGGCAAAATGAGACATTCACTTTGGAAGAAAGTTTAGTGGGTCCTTACAAAGCTATAGTTTTTTGTTTTTGTTTTTGTTTTTTTTTTTGGGGGGGGGGGTTAGGGAGCAGTTTTTGCCATAGGGAGCATGTCCTCACCAGAAAGAGAGACAGAAACCAAGGAATCACCCCCTGGGCAGATGGCCACACTGCAATCCTTTCTCCTCCATTCTCCTCTTGGGATCTTGGGCACTCATGCACATGCGCCTGGAGTGAGTTTAAGCCACCGTCTGGGACTCAAATCACAGTCGACTACATGGGAGTCCAGCGACATAGCCATTACGCCAACTGCTGGTCCCAAAGCTATAGTTTCAATACACCATTCAGCAGACACAGTCCTAGGTATTTACCCAAACAAGTTGAAAATTTATGTATACACAAAGAAATGACATTGATTATTTTTGCTTCAGTAATTTTTTTGTTTTTGTATTTTATTTTCTCCATATTTCGTTTTATTTACATTTCATCACTGTACATCTTGCAGCATACAAAAGAGATCTCCCCAGCATGAATACACTGCGTATTAGTCCAGTTAAAAATAGTACCATACCGATCTTTCTTTACACGTAATTTTACACTTTTGTGTCTATGCATAGGATTATTTTAAGTTTTATTCATAACTTCCAAAAACTAGGTGCCATCAGGATGTCCTCCAAAAAGTGAAGAGGTAAAAAATCTAGGGTATACAAAGAATTCTTAAAATTCAATGATAAGAAAATGAGCAATTCAGTTTTAAAAATGGGCAAAAGACCTGAAGAGTCACTTCACCGAGAAGACACACAGATGGCAGATAAGTGTGTGACAGGATGGTGGGCATCGTATGTCACTAGGGAGTCACAGATTAAAACAACAGTGGGATACCACCATGTGCCTACTACAGTGCCTAAAACCCGAACCACTGGGCCAGCTGGCGGTGTGGTGGCCGACCATGGCCAACTGCAGGGTTCAATATCCATACAATACCCTTCAGCAATAAAAAGGAATGCGCCATCGAGCCATGGAAATTCATGAAGGACTCATGTGTATTGCTTAGTGAAGGAAACCAGTCTGAAAAGGCTACAGGCTGTATGAGGCTGTAACCATCTGACATTCTGGAAAAGGTGAAAGGGTCATAAAGGGTCAGTGGTTGTCAGGGACCTGTGGAGAGCGAAGGATGAGGAAGTGGGACATGGGGGATTTTAAGACAGTGGAACTCCTCTGTGTGATACTGTCATGGTCAATATACCATGTTATGCATTTGTCAAAAGCCTTGGAACCATACAGCGCAAAGAGTGAGCTGCCAAATCATCTGTGGGTTTTAGTTCACCACGATGTACCAATTTTGGTTCATCAGCTGTAACAAATTACCCTCACTGATGCAAGGTGCACGCTGACAGGGAAAACTGTGAGAAGTCAAGGGAGTACATGGGAACTCTCTGGACCAAATGCTCAATTTTCTGCAAACAGAAAATTTGCAGCTTAGCGTTACTGTCCGAGCCTTGGACCACTCTGTGTTCACTCAGCAGCCCCTAGAGGCCCTTGAATTGGGATGTCTTGCCCACTACACCTGCCTCCTTCCCCACACAGAACCCACACCCCGAGAACCCAGGACGCTGACACAGCCTCCCAGCCATTGCCCTGACTCCCTTCTGAGCCTCTCCTGTACCTGCCACCTGGAAATAAGCTCCTCCCAGCTGTCGGCTCTGAACTCCTTTATTTCTCCAGCCTCTGTTCTGATCTCTTGCCTAGTTCCTATTGGTAGAAATGTTCTGCTCAGTGGATAGGAAACCTCATCTCTCTCTCTCTCTCTCTCTCTCTCTTGCTTCAAAAACAACAAAAGTGTGTGTGTGCGAGGCTGGGGTGGGGGGGGTTCCAGGAAAGGATCTGTAAGTACACTCACTGTATCCAAGGCTGTGAGGTAGAAGTAGACTGTGCTTGCCAAGAAATCCTCAGTCCCGAAGGTCAGAACCTTGGATTTCAAAGGCGTGTACCAGATCATCTG